TTTCTAACCTCCAGGTAAACTGAACCGATAGAAGCTCCAGAGCTAAAAGACAAGCTTCAAGTTAGAGTCTCTGAACATCGACACTACCTTCAGGTGAGTTTACTGTCAGTCAGATTATAAAATGAACCACTCTCAGTGCGCCCCAGGGTAGCTGTGACTACAATGTAGCTTGCCATCACCAGTGTGTGAATGTGTGTGTGAATGGGTGGATGACTGAATGTGTAAAGCGCTTTGGGGTCCTTACGGACTAGTAAAGTGCTATACAAATACAGGCCATTTACCATTTACTAGTTTGACTCAAAACAAACTTAAACACGAGGGACAAATCAAAAGAACACCTTTAGCGGACATAATGGCATGCTCCCGATGAGATGAGGGATGGTTTGAAAATGTCTCAGTGTTAGTTTTAGCCTTTTCAATAATTTTTTTGTATCTTTTATTATTGTGTGGAGGTCATCTGTCAGAGGCCAGCTTTAGGAAAATCAGTAAATGTATTACAATAAAAACCATAAACCTTTTGAAAGCAGTTGACTTAGTGTTGTAGACATCCACAGTGTTAATAAACAAGTTGATTAATTACTCAGCAATATGATATGGTATGATATATATGATATGATATGATATGATATGATATGATATGATATGATATGATATGATATGATATGATATGATATGATATGATATGATATGATATGATTTTATTGGATTTTTTTTTTTACCAGACTAACTTTTACTAACAAAAATCTTTTTTACATCAAGTTTTAGATTATATTTTCGTTTTAGTTAACTATAATAACTTTGGTGTTCAGGGAGCTCTACTCCCAGATCTACATCCAAAATAAATTCAAACTTGTACCCATTGCACCCAATTATTGTTTTTCCAAGTCATTAAAGATCCATGCTGTACAATCATTCCACCCTGGAATCAAACAGATGAAAGAAGTCAGTAAAATCCCCAAATTACCATGACATTCATGCCCATGATGAGTGTATATAAACTTCTGATGACAATTAGTTAATATATATTTGATCACCTGGGTTCTCCGGATCTTAGGTGATGATTTATCATGATTTAGATTACGTGAATTCATCTAACAATGTTTCAGTGCTTTGTTGTAATAACTGTGCTGTGCGTGTGTTGCAGACTGAGCGTTGACCAGGACAACACAGATAATCAGGCCTGACAACAGGAGAGGAACATGGCTGATTTGGATCCCACAACTGAAAACTTGCGCATGGCTCATCTGAACATATGCAGCCTTAGACATAAGATTCCTGACATTCACCGCTTTTTAGAACGTTATAAAATACACGTGCTAGCTGTCACTGAAACTCATTTAGGCATAACTGTTAGAAACTCTGAACTAAAAATAGATAATTACAAGTTGTACAGAAAGGATGGAAAAAAGAAAAACAAAGGAAAAAGGGATCGGGGTGGTGTAGCTCTCTATGTTCAAGATCACATTAGCAAACACATTAAGAAACTGTTTGTCTCAAATCTGCCTAATATAGATCTGATCTGGGCTGTCATTAACCTGCCACATACCAAACCAGTTTTCATAGGATGTTGTTACATATCAGAAAAATTTGATTATAAATATCTTGAAGGTATGGAGATATCAGAGAAAGACCGAACAGAAAGACACATTTTCCTGCTGGGTGACTTTAACATGAATTGGTACTTAGAAAAAGATAGAAACAACATTGAGTCTTTTTCTAAAAGATGTGGTTTAAAACAGGTTGTAAACTGTCCCACCAGGTTAGAAAACTGTATTGATCACATCTACACAAATATTCCAGAGCTTTATGACTCACCATGGTCAGTTGTCACAGGCTGTAGTGATCATAATCTTGTTATTGTTGATGTAGAAAAAATAAAAGTACCCCAAAGAATATCCATTAGGGATCCTAAACCCTGGTGGTGGGATGAAGATTTAATATGTTTGATAAAGGAAAGAGATGATGTAAAAAGGGATTTAACTATAGTAAAAGAAAATAAAGAAAGTGACACAAAAAAAGCAAAGAGTTTACGCAAAAAGATTTTAGATAAGTTCAAAAACATAAAGAAGAAATATTTTCCCCAAATTCAACCAGAAGATATCTGATATTCATCGACTTCTCAGATCCACATTGCAATTGAATGTGAATCAATTTAATCACATCAAATTCTTAGGAGTTATAATACTGAACCAGCATGTTTCCTGGTCAGACATCTGCAAGAAAATAAAAAAAAACTGTTTTGGTATGATCAGGTAATGTTCTGTCTCAGGGGAGGTGGATCATTTTGTTCTTTCGTTAGTGCTCTCTCAATTGTAGGACTGAGGCCTCTGTGTCATCCATTGCTGACCACACACACCTTGGTTTTCAAGTTGCTTTTGTCAGGATGTATGTTTGAGTTATGGTTTGCTGAGCATTTTGATGTTAGCTTAGGTTATGACAATCACTTTGTGAGTATCTCCTTGTTAATGCTATGACTCATGTTTTTTTTTTCTTTTCACTATTTAACCCATCGACAGAAATAGGTTTTAAATGACTGATTTTTTGTTTTGTTTTTCTGGTGTTGGCATACTGGCATAAGTTATTTTTGTCAGGTTTCAGCTAAACTGTGGTTTCTTTTTCTCTGTAGTTTGTTTTGTTTTTGTTTTCTCTGAACTCCATTCATGGTCTGTAAACTGGCAATAAAGGATTTAAAACTAGGGCTGGGTATTGTCACAGATTTCTAGAATCAGCTCAATTCCAATTCACAAGGTTCGATTCAATTTGAATCGGGGAAATTTTCCCTCAGACAGTCAGAAATATTATAATTCTGATCATTTATCAGTACATATCCATATTGTTATATCTATGAAAAGAAAGCTGACACTTGTGAGACTATCAGAGGTGTAAGCGTCACAGCAGATGCCTTTTTGTCAAATTAACTGAGCATAAAACACAAAAAAGCACGAAGGAGATTTTCCTGGCCTGGCTTTTTATAGCAGATAATCACCTTAAAAATATTCTGCAATAAAACAAATACGGAAGAAAACCTTGAATCAACATATGAACATTACCTGATGCTGCTGAAGTGAAGCGCATCAAAGTTACAGAATCTTAATTAGAGACACAGCTAAGCATTTTGCAATTTCGCATGATTTTAAAAAGTTTAAATTTCTTCAGTATTGAACAGCAGAAATGAGGCTTTCTTATCGTAAGTCAGTTAAAGTAAAAATTTAAAAAACAACAACAACAACAAAACAGAGGCCGACAGGGCTGTACATAACAGTAGACTGGTGGGTAATAAGCAAGCGGATAATGCAGAAAACAGAGATTTTTAGATGGAAAACTACCCTTGAAGTAGGGGAGACCGGGGATAGTTGTAACATTCCTGACATTTTTGGCTGTAGCTTTGAGCTCTTTTAAGGTAGTGGATTCAAAATGCAATGCAAAGTTTTTACATGTCTCTATGAAATAGTAGAGCTATTTTTTTCTGCAACACAGTTACTAATTGCATGGTATGGTCTCAAACACAAAGAGAGAAATGTGACAATTAACCCCATGGTCTGGGTAATGTAATCATGTCATCTTTTTTATTCAACACCTGAATGCACTTATAAAAACTGATGTAGCTACAACTAATATTTGAACATTATAATGAAGCTGAAAAAATGTAGTTGTGCACCAGCTTCATCAACTGCACTGTATGTGTTTGTGTCAAGTTTTTAATCACTATCAGAATCACAGTGATGACAGATGTATGGCACCCTTTGAGTGCAGGCCTCATGAGCCCACAGACTATAGGTCAGGCACTTAACCCAAGCTTCTGGGGGAATGTAAGCAAAGCAATTCCATTGCTCTTGCAGAAGTCAATGGCTGCAGTTGACAGGTGTGAACTGTGGTTATCCTTGGGAAGAATCACTTTCTTTACGGCTGACCTTGGTGTGGTTTGCAAAGTGCTTCAACTATAGATGAGGAACTCTGTTTCTTGCATCCATCCTGATTTATTTCCACTATACTTCCTACTGAGAATCTTTCTGGCCCAGTCCTCGAGGATTTGTCCAATGACTTTGGATATTTACATCCATGTTTCACTGCAAGCTGATATGCCAGTTCTTTTACCTGTAATTTTAATCACAAAAAATGTTAGTATTTCTGCTATACTATATTTTAAATGGCCACCATTACAAATTTCTAACTTTTCCCTACCTTATCCTCTATCAATTCCTATTGGCTTACCTCACATGATCATAGTCAATAAAATGCATCTGCAGCCCTCATCAGGTATTCTGTTAATTCTTTGTGAAGACCTTCTTTCGACTATTCAATTCAATTTCAATTCAATTCAATTTTATTTATATAGCTCCAAATCACAACAAAAGCCACCTCAAGGCGCTTTATATTGTACAGTAGATACAGAGAAAAACCCAACAATCATATGACCCCCTATGACCAAGCTCTTTGGCGACAGTGGGAAGGAAAAACTCCCTTTTAACAGGAAGAAACCTCCAGCAGAACCAGGCTCAGGGAGAGGCGGCCATCTGAAGGAAAACAGGATAAAGACATGCTGTGGAAGAGAGACAGAGATTAATAACAGATATGATTCAACACAGAGTTCTGTTACTTTTTTTCTTAAATTGTCTGTGTTTGTCAAAGGGTGCTAATTTTTCACATGTGATAGAGTAACTGAATTGGGCATGTACAGGATGAATCAGAACGAAATTAACATCTTATAGTTTCTATCCTATCCAGCTCTTTCTAAGAAGTCAGTTTAATAGGCATAAGGTTTAAATTGATCTCTCTTATCCTCGAACTAAAATTCTTATGTGTTTACATAGTTCAGACCCACTTAGACTGTAGTTCAACAGGGTGAATACAATGTTTAAATGCCACAGTGAGGGCTTCTTCCAGAAAAAAAAAATGTGCCGAAGTCACGCTGCTAGCGTCCGTCTCCATCATGGCCGCTCAGTGGACACAGTTTCACTGAAACTCCTGTAAAAATGTAGACACTGGATCGCGCATGCGCATTGCCGGTGGCTTAGTGGGTCGCAATCTCGCGCAACTTGCTTGGGCGACAGTCGGGGTTATAGCAACGGAAAGCCCATCAGCAGAAGCAGCGGGACGGCGGAGAGAGAGACGGCGGTAGCTTCAGTGAGTAACAAGAACTTTATTAAAAACGGCCTTCCGCACGGCCCAGTCCGTGCTGTCTAAACCACTTTATCACGGGATAAAGACTCCAACCGTCCCGTAGGTGACAGCCAGTCGTTGGCTGGTAAGGTGCGTGTGTATTATCGAAAAGGCCTCCAGAGGGGGGTAACGTTAGCCTGTAAAAGTCGCGTTTTCAGTTACACTCGGATGTGTTAAAGTTAGCGGATACAAGTGTAGGGAAATATAATAAGCTGGAAAAACTGCTTATTTAAAACAACAGTAGCCAAACAAAACACCCACGGAGCCACACCACAACCTGCGAGGGGCGAGCAGTTAGCCGGGAGCTAGCTGATCGGTCTGAGCAGCGCTGAAACGTCTGTAACGTCAACTGTCAAAACACCGAGCCGTGAACGAAGTTCAGCCCTTAACTGTCCAACAAACCATGGTTTATAAACTATTGCATTACCAAACTTTTCATAGCCTGCTTAGATCAAACTATAAAATGCAAAATTACCTCTGCTGATAAAGAAATACAGTTTTTATCAGATTGAGCCCCTTATCTGATTAAAAACCTGTTGACAAAGAGCTCTTTATAACTGCTACAATACGATATTATTTCAAACTAAGCAGAAGTGTCCTGTAAGTCTGAATTTTTTGTCAGTCAATTTTAACTAGTACATCTTCTTTTAATTAGTAAATTGTATTCTCTGTTATTTATTTATTTACTCTTGTTTATTTCCCGACAGTACGTCAGACTTTACCAAAAAAAGAAAAATACTATCACTTTATAGGTCAATCTATCAGCATGATTTATTAGTAGCTTCATAATTAACCCTTTAAATGTATAATAGAAAAATATTTGCTAATTTAAGCTTTACATTAAATGTATGGGTTCTATTAATAAAAAAAGAGAGGACAGCTGTGTCAGCCAACGATTTTTTACAATAAATCTGAAAATGTATCAGGACAAACCAAGCAAGTTTTTACTGGCACACATCATGTCTTTAGTTGGAGCTGTGTAAAGTACCAAATATAACATATGCATAAATAGTATTTTTGAACCAGCAAGGTGATTCCCTTGCTTAAAACTTGACATATCTCATCATGGTGTGCACAGTGTGCTTTTTAAAAGGAAAATCAGAGTACAGTGGATTAGTGGAAGATGAAGTAGAAGTGGTAGGCCTATAAAATTATCTACAGCAGATGAACAGCATTTTTAAGAAACAGGAAACAATACAGTAAAGACCTAACACAGGACCTGAGAGAAAATGCTGAGATATGCCAACTTACACAAGAACAGGACTGAAAATTAGTGTCAGTAGGTCGCATGTAGTGATGAGTCCAAATTAAAAATTTGTGTTTCAAATCATCATCAATATTTACAAAAGAGAATGAGGAGAGAGGTACAACAACGAGTGTCTACAGCCATCTGTACAACATGGTGGAGGCTCTGTCACGTTTGGGCTGCATTTCAGTCAGTAGTGTTGGAGATCTTGTCACATGTATGAAAGGTATTATAGAACCAATTTTTTTAACACTCAAAAATTGCCTTTTTAAAAATCTGTAAATTATAGTATTTTTTTTATTTTATTTGTTGTTGATTATTAGGGTTTGTTGCTGGATGAGAAAGATCCTTGATTAGTTATACTAACACGTTCAATCTGTTATCTTTTTTGTGAGTAATTTCTGAATTTCCCATGTTACTTTTACTCTGAAAAACAAAAGTGTCTTTTATAATTATTGATGTGGTTTGTTTGTCATCGTGATCATGAGCAGCTATCATGTTCAATAATGAAGACTGTTCAGTTGCAGAGCTTTGATCTAAAATTATTATATATGTATTTTACAGTGTTTCAGTGCTGCTGGGTCAAATTCATTGGTCCGGTTACACTTTTTATGAACATAGTTTTTTTGTCTATATTGTAGAGAGTCTCCAAAACTAACGTTACACAAAGCAAAACACAATCAGGAGCTGAATAATGTTACATCACTTTATTTATCATTCAGTCTGTACTCACATTTTGATGGTTTTTCATTTAATCTGAAGGTTATCAAAGTGTTAACCCTGTGTTCCTATCAACATAAAATGCTAATAACATTTAAAAGAAGACCCAAATTTATATTTGACCTCAACAAGTGAAATAATTCCAGAAACATTTGGCTGATATGTGTGGATGGTGTTTGAAATTTTCTGGAAATTAGAATCATAATAGAAGGGAGTTGTGGGATTTTTCTTTGGTTTGACTTGGACATTTCTCTGGAAATGTCTGGATATTTGTTTTATGTTGCCTTCATTTCCACACCTTATATCCTGAATATATAGTACTCCCCCC